TGGCCATGGCCGGCCTCTAAAAGTCACTTTTCGACTTTTTTCCCTATGGTCACCGAAGCGCCATGACTTGACACCCCCCAGACATATGCATATCATTAGAAAGGTCTTGAAGTGAGCTATCGAATGGAGTCATTTGCGGTCCAAAAATTTCAATGTGGGGTGGCTAAATTGGCCAAAAACCAAAAATGTACCGTTCGGCCGGACACATAACGTCCATTACCTCGAAAACAAGCTCAAGGATTTTTTTGAAAATTTCACCGATTTTAGGCCCAAGTCTAAGCTATAATATGCCGCATAGCTCATATCCCAGAAAATTCTTGTTTTCAAGATATGGCCTTCGATAGTGCAAAAATGGCCAAAAATGGCCATTTTTTCAAACAATCGCTGTGGCACCTATACTTGACTTACGCAAGGCATATGCATATTCGTTGGAAAGGTCTTAAAGTAAGCTATCGAATAGTGCCGATTGCGACTTAAAAATGTCAAGTTCAGGTGGCCAAATCGGTCAAAAATCAAAATTTGACCGTCTGGCCGGACACATAACGGTCACTTTCTCGGAAAAGACTGCATAGGTTCTTTTTAAAAATTCATCAATTTTAGCCCCAAGTCAAAGATAAAAAAAATGTGCATACCACACACCACTGCTAAAACCTCTGTTCCTCATTATGATCCATAATTTATATCATTTTGTTTCAAAAATAACCTAAAAATCCATATTTTCATTGTATTTGAAAAATATTCAAATCCATTGGTCTTGAATCTTTAACTTGGAAAATAGCACTTACAAAACTATTGATATCAAATAAAAAACCTCTATCGAGTTAGAGAACGAGTGACGAAACCTACATTTGAAACACAAAATTTCTGATATCAATTTTGTGACGAAAATAGTTGGTAGATATATTTTCTTTGTACTGTGAATATAAACTTAATATACATTTGTAAATTCGGAACGTTGCTTCATTGCGTCAGTATGAACTCAAAGTAAAAAGGAGAAAATTTCTGCAACGTTTTGAATATACAAATGTATATTAAGTTTATATTCACAGTACAAAGAAAAAATACCTACCAACTATTTTCGTCACAAAATTGATATCAGAAATTTTGTGTTTCAAATGTAGGTTTCGTCACTCGTTCTCTAACTCGATAGAGGTTTTTTATTTGATTTTCATTACAAGTAAGGGGATCCTAGGCTAAGGAGTTTTGAACACAAGAAATGTTGCGGGTGAAAGTTTTTCTTACAGGTTTGTGATACGCGCTCGTTTTGTATCGGATTTATCCTTTTTGGGAGCAGATTTGTCGTTTTTGGGACGAAATGGAACAATGGGACCTGAAATGGAATTTGTACTTAAAATTCGCCATGGCTTGAAAATATCAAAGAATTTATAACCTCCGGCATAACCTAGGTGCCCCTAATATTCGTTGAAATGTCTTCAAACTCTCGGAATAGTATTTATGTGTGATAAAAATAACCTGTGCAAAGTTTCAGCTCATTACGATATCATACAGGCATGGCTTCCATACAAAAATCCAAATTTTTTGAATTTTTTGTATGAAAAGTGTTTCGAAAGTTGATTGTATCGCAAAACTAATATACGCTCATATTCGATTTTCTCGTACCCAAAAACCCCCCAATACACATTTTTGAGTGTTTAGGAATACATTAAATATCACTTTTGGAAGAAAAATTGAATTTTTCCCAGGGATGGACATGGGCATCACACCAGACATGACACTTTACCCTGTCAACCAAAGTCGCTCAAAATCTAATGGTTTCTATTCCTCGGCACCCCCAATCATCTGTGAAGTCAGATTTTGATTCAACATTTTTGAATTACTTTTCTTGTTTGAAAGTTATCGTGTTAACAAATTTTTGCGTACAGGGTACAGGGTACAGGGTACAGGGTACGCACATACATTCGGACATCGAAAAAACGCTGGATTCGTGTTCCCTGGCCCCAAAAACACCCAGAAAACACATTTTTTATGGGTGTTAATTTTTCGACCGATTCCAATACTTTACCTTACACACTAGGTGTGTGCGGAAAAGTAAAAACGAAAATTTGTCTAATTTGCTAGAGAATTTTTTGTTTTTGGAAAATCACCCCCCTCTGAAAAATTTTCCTCGCACACTACTGCACTAGGTGTGTGCGGAAAAGTAATAATCAACTTTTGTGATAAATTTTGACAGTTTTAACGAATTAGATATTTCAAAATGTATACATTCTCGAGCTTATCACACCATTGTGGAGAAAAAAGCGAGGCCAGTAATAGATATGGATAACTCATATAACATGTTATGGTTTACTTGCATTTCGACTGTGCATAAAAATATAATATCGATGTGAAGGACGTTCCGGTCTAAACGCTAATTACACACCAACGTGGACTTTTCTTTTCAAAAGAACGGCAAATTAAAGGACAGTTTTAGCCTGTTAATTGTCAGAATATCCTTCTATTGATTTAATTGATATGATGCATTGGCTATAAAAGAGCCACGCCAGTGCACAACTTTGTTGCAGTATTTGTTGAGTTGCATTTGAGAGCATTCGTGTTTATTTTTTAATAAAAGAATTGTCCTTACTTCAACGTTCAATTTGAATTCAATATTGCAAATTTTTTTTTTTTTTAAATCACGGATATTTTTTTAAAACCTTAAAATTGATAGTTAATTTAAACTCAATAATTCCGAAAAATTGACACGAAACCATGAGAATTTTTCAAACAACGCGAAAAATCTATGAAGAGTTGGGCATATATCAGCCTAAAGCATTTGAAAATCATTCGATAAGTGTCCATTTTTGGGCCGCATTTATTGTAATGGTGATAACATTCATATTGACATCGATGGGCTATCTGATCGAAGCACAAACCTTTGAAGAATTTTTCGATTGTTTTTATGGAATAAGTACATCGTTTACGTGGCTATCATTTTTAATTGTAATCATTTTGAAGGCATCTATCATGTTCAAGTTCATTGAGGAACTCGAAGCAGCAATCGAAAAAAGTATGTACAAAGTTATTGTAATCGAAATCGAGTAATGTTAACAATTGTTTTGGGCTTTATTAAAATACCAACCAGTAGATTTTAGTGACACTTCGTAATTATTTTCGCGCGTGAATGGGCATTTAATTTAATAGATCATTATCTAGGAATAGAGAATCCGGTATCCAAGGCCATTTATGAAGAGGCGAATGAAAAGACCGAGAAATGGACAAAATTTATTGAATTTTTAGTAATGAAAGTGACACTTGCTAGCGTTCCCACCTCGTTTCTCGTCATATGCTACTATCTCTACTTTGCAACTGATTTAGGAAATGAAGCATTTCGCTTGTCATTTCTTATGTGGTAAGATCAATTTGATCAACGCAGAGATAATTCATGAAATGTTATCAATTTTCAATTATTTTTCCTTCACTTTTCATACAAATAGGTTTCCGTTTGATTGGAAGGATCCAATTTGGTTGCCTTTACTATAATTGCTGTCATGTGTTATTACGTTGACCTTATCATTAC